AAACCACCGAAAAGCATGTAATAAATACAAGTATTCTATAGAATATTGTCGATACACAAACGTAACAAATACAGTCATCTAAGCTAACCTGAATTTATCTGTGAAGCATGATATAGAATGCTCCCCCATTGACTGAAGCGTCCCTCAACAAAATAAAATGATATGTTTTTTTACCATTTGCTGAATCTGACTATGTATTATAATATAATTTATATTTCAATGGTATGGGGTATTTTCATTAAAATACAAAATTGAAAAGGAACCACAATTATTTGACTAAAATTTCATTTAAAAATTCGTCTCTGAAAAACTGGAAAGAAGCCACGTCACGACAAAACCAACATAGTTTGTGACCAGCATGGATCCAGACCAGACTGCGCATCCGCGACCAGACTGCGCATCCGCATCCATATTATTTTTCTCCATGATGCATATGATGGTCTCAATGGTTACCCGTGCATCAAAATAAGAAACATCACAAAAATCGACTTGCATACATGTTGAGTATCATTCAGTGACTTACTGAATTCAAAATGTATACGTCATCTTTGTCAGATTGAGGTATAGGTGTGAAATAGGTATATATATCTTTATTTCCTCCATCGCGTTTTTATAGCTCACATGAAATGTGAAAATTGGATATATTGAATGTTTTAAACTGATAGAATTTTATACCGGACGGTAGAATATGTTTAGCTTCATATACATGAGTGTGATTTTCTGAAATTAATGACGAAGTAGCGAAGTAATTAACTAATTTCTTGAGAACAATGGACATCCATATATTTCTGTGACGTCACGGTGGATGTAAAAATTTAGTCTATATTTGGTCTGTATGTGAATGCATGTCAAAAGTAGTTATTTCTCGTAAACTAATTTCTCGTTGACTAAAATTTAACAGTTATGTAGCAGATCTTCTGTACAATACCTATACCGCGTCGACGGAAAACGCCTGTAGTCATTTAGTTTTAATCTGGAAACAATGGATACTGATTTCCCTCAAACCGAATTGACTCCAGTGGAGATTAACAGTCAATCACCTGTTATAGAGGCTATTTCAAACAAAAACTTGAACAGCGTAAACGGAGCTAAAATGGGTCTTTAACATTCGAAGAATCAGACATTTCTCAAGTGCAAACTTTGAATAAATTATATACTTCCTAGGCAAGTATCCAACTAGCATTTAATGAAAACTCCGACTTAATCGAAGTCCATCGGCTGCAAAAACTGCTAGGCGGTATCCCTAGAGCTATGTTTACATAGATTATCAAAATTCAGAGTCGAAATTAGAGCAAACACGGCATGCAAATGTTGTTCGAAATAATCAGACAATCTGATGATTACCCATACACTAGAGAAATCGAGCTTAAAAAGCGTGTCAAAACACGACACGGCCAACCAATAGCAGCAAAAGTATCCCAGAATACACACATGCTACTGTCTGTAATCGAAGGAGATGACTACCAAACTTTAGTGCATCGAAGCCGTCGCACAAAACCATAACATCGAAAGGAATAAAACCAGATACACCTCAAACTGCCCCGCGCACATGCAATTAAGACATCGATCTCTTAAAAGACGCTATCGCGTCTCTCCAAGGTGATATCTTAAAAATGAAACAAAATTACGTTGCCGAGGAGTTGGCTCATACATCTGAAATTCAAGCATTACATTCTGCCATCGATTATATTAGAAGTGATTACGACAATTATGTTTCGGGCACGAAAGTTCTAATTACTGAAGATCTCATACGATCATATCCGATCTATGCAGAGTTACTTCATAGCTACCAACACATCATTAGATGCATTACAAAAATCCTATAATAAATCAAACACCACGTGTATTCAAAATTCTGGCCAGAACACTATTTCAACTCCAGAAAACACCACAGAACATTTAAAACAACCAGTACCAATTGATTGGTCAAATGAACTCAAAACCAGCTTCTCAGATCAAAAGCATCATCAAGAGGACACACCGGAAGTGACGCAACAATCAAAACAGAATACTCTCAGTCGATCTTATGCAGAGGTCACAAGTAAACAACATTGTGCAGTAAATACTCATAAAAAATTCTTCGCAAGAATGTTTTCCTATTCCAACAATTGTCTCGGGTCGGATATCTGAAAATAACCGGAGTGCGCACCGGCAATGTGACGTCACCAGTCAAATAAAGATAGACATTATCAAACGAAAAATTGAAAAGAAACTAATGGCTATCAAAGTCCATATGTCCAGACAGACAATGAAGAAGATTTTGAGCAGTATGAACGAAAAAGACCAAAGCGATATTTTATTGGAGGATTTAGTGACAAAGATCGCAAACTGTATACGGTGGCGTGACCCTAGAGTTACAAAAGTGACAATTTTTAAGAATGAGCGTTTTGGATCCGTAGCCATACGTGCAAATATTGAAGACGTTGAAAATGCAAACAATTTGTTAGAAAAAAACATTTTGGCCACGTGGAATAACGTGTAGACCATGGCTTTCTTATGGAATGTACCGTGACCAAATCAGGAAAAAAGAAATAAATATTGACAGAGTAAACAGGAAATCAAGTAACCAATTAAATAAGTAATCAAGTATCACAGATGATTGGTCCAAAGACAGGTTCATTAGCGAAAATAGATATGAAGAATTAGATGTAGCTTTAGACTAACGATCATTGCAAATGTGCTCTAACAAAGAATACTTAAGAATTGCTACGAGGAATGCGGCAGGTATTACATCAAGTTCAAGTTATCTTAGTGATGTCCTTGAGAGAAATTATATACATATATGTGGATTATCTGAACATATGCTGTACTCATATGACCTCAATTTTTAAACCACATAAACAGTAACTCCGAAAGTGTATCAATAGCAGACCCAGACCTTTGTATTATTGGAAATAGAAGAGTTGGAAAAGGTGGGATTGCAATATTATGGAATACGACATTAAATGATAGGATATCTCCTATAAATATTCAATCTAGATATGTTTAGGTATAGAAGTATTCATTTCCCCCTGGCGAATATATGTATATTTTTCAAATTTATCTCCCGTGTAAAAACCATTCTGTGGAGGAGTTTAAAAATAGTTTAGATGATGTAGAAAATGTTATATGCATATTTATTGATAAACGTTGATTTTAGTCATGGAAGACTACAACACTGAACTCCCAACAAGACAAGGAAATTCATTTCAAGTCGATAAACGGGGAAACTTGCTAGTTGATCTTATGATCCGAAGCCAGCTAATTGCCATTGGATCGGGATTAAGCTCTGGAGAAATGTACAGTAATGTACCGTATAATAGTGATCCAAGACATGATAAATATTACCAGAAAACTTCAGGAAAATGGAAATTAGCCCTAGATAAAGTGCCAGAAACAGATAACTATCTTCATTTAGGTATTCTATGTAATAAGAATATGTGTCTCAATGAAAATATTAAAGAATCATGTACAAAACTTCATAAAACGTATTTTAGTTTATCTAACTGTGGCGTGCACCATTCTGGAATACATGCTATCTCAGAAAAACATCTTTATGAAAGACAGCTTCGGACAGCTGTGCAACTTAGAAAAAGAGAAGAGAATTAAAAGATGCACATTCAGTGTTTCACGAAACATCCGAGTAAAACAGTAGGGTTTATACCAGATATATATACAGACTCTTAGGAAAATACAGCTTAATACAATGTTTTAACAATTACACCTTCAGTGCTAATAGCGATTGGAAACGGACTGATAAAGCAAACTTGTGTTATTAAACATGAAAATTTCGAATACAAGACCAGGTTAGAAAATGATGCTGCATTATCTAGCTTTTTAAGTATTCATATTGAGATACTTCCATGTAATGCCTGGCGATTCAGTCAACTGTATCGTGATTATTTGCCATATTGTAGAACAATTGTAATTGTATTTGTATTAAGTCATTTGCTTTCTCGTGATTATATTAGGATATGTCCAGTATGTAGACGACTCTTACAATCTGTGGTTTATAATGTATAGTTATTCTGCCCAATAAATGACATTTATAGACAACAATCATGGAAAAAGATTCACAATTTCTTGGGCTACGAAAACGATACTTATTATTGCTCTTTAAACTACCATGAACAAAATATTGAACTATTATCTGGATTTCCATCCTTCAGCATGGAAGATAGCAACAGGGTTGCACTTTTTAAAACTGTAGCTAGATCAATACATTACGTTTTGCATTTATTATACTTACGAATATGATGACTATCTTTGCTTAGCATGTTAAAACTCATTTATTCTCTGTATTTTGATGTAAGTGATTCGTAAATTTACCAACTGGGCAAAATCAAAGCAAGACTGATCAGCCATGGAAAACATCTGATTGTCAGTAATGGTCAAAATTTTCAATACATAATTGTTTGAACTCCTTGAATAAAAAAATAATAAGCTTTCCAGAGGCTCTCATAATGTAATTTTATTTAACTAGTTCAATAAATTCAGTATTGAATATACACTCGTTCCATGATGTTCTGTATGGGCAATCATTCAATGCTGGAGACATCTATATTTAGTTCAGAAAACTACGTCACTATCTTTGTATTTGTATTGCATTGCAAACATTCATTTCATGTTATTCATAGCTGGTAACAAAGTGATTAGATCGTGAATATTTTAAAACACCGGAAGTAAAATGTTTTTTCAAAATTGTAATTCTAAATAAATTATGCACTTGATATAATGACCTTGCACATAAACAATGTTAAGATTAGAGGTTGTAAAATTTAATTGACATACCTGGTAATTTCGTAGTTATATGTACGTTATTATGTGTTTGTAATTATATGCTCGTAATTATTTGTTCTGTTATTTTGCTGACAATTAATGAGTGGAATTTACATCGTCTTTGTGTATGATTAACTTGAATATGAACGCCTATTTGTGTAATGTGTAAATAGTATTCGATCTTAAAGTATATTTTATTTAGCTACAGTCCAAACAAACAAAACAAAACAAACAAACTAAAATCTTATCAATCTAAATTTTAATATACACGTCTTTGAAGCTGTAATTAACTGGTTCAACATGTACCCAGGTTAAGTCTTGATATCTGCAAAGTATATTCCTTAATTAGTACATGTATTTTATAATGTCAAATTTAATGTTCCTAAAAAATTAGTAATTTCTTTAGTCTTATATATGTACACACACATTGTAAATTAAGTAATACAATTGACAAGTTTTCGAAATATAGTTATTAACAAACCATCTAATCTCGCTTAATTTACTTTTTTTATATTACATTCTAAATCTTGGAAACATGTTATAGATATTCACCAACCTATTACGTTATGCATTATTACTAATTGTCTTATTATTGTTATTCTGAATCTTAATTTACTTTCATGTTTTCTGATGCTTTACATTGCCTCTAAACTGAACAGCCATGTATACATCTGAAACCTATTACGACAATGCTATTTACCAACGACGCTTTACAAGCATTTTTGTATTGGTTTTGGTCAGATTTTAATTTACAATTATAGTACATTTCAAAATAAATGGATTTCAATTTCAACATATAAAATATGTAGAACCTGGTCAGACTGAATTTTAGTGTAGGCTGTCCTGGCATAGGCTTTGCTCTTCTGCTTGACAATAGTTTAAGAGTTAATTAAGTGTTTAGTGTACATACTGAATGATTTTTAGATGTTTTAGACTTTAGTCTAAACGCGTATAAGTTAAAGTCACAGATTCATTTTAGTTTTCACGAAATTGAATGGTTTATTAATATAATAGATCTACATGTATTAAAAAACGCTACAGAAAACATTATCCGACAACTTATGCAATGATACATTTCTAAAATACTGTTTTGTTCAGTTATTTAATTCAAAATGGCACTGAACAGTGATTTGAATGTACATATAATATTTATAAAATAAAAAGTAATATAAGTACGAGAAAAAACTCCACATAAACAGTTATAAAAATAAATGACATGAACAAGTACAGTAACGATAATAACACAAAAAAAATAGTTACAAAATTAGACTACATGTATTTACTTTATATAGACTTGCTGTCGCCTAAACACCAGCGATACAAAACGTTTAGCTTTATTTTGATAAATTATTTTATTCATAATGTATCACTGATTTCAAACAATACAAGATACTTAACGTTCTCATGTTTAAACATGACCCCTAGACAACCAACATAACATTGTATTTGTTTACACTAAATAAAAATAACAAATTACATTTCGGAAGGTATTCTAAACATGCAAATTATACAAATATATGCAGTAGAGAGATATTGTACAGTGATATAGAATTTCAAGTGATACCGATCAGCTTCTTTTGTTTTCTAAAACAAGTAGAAAAGAAGGTCTTGAATACGTTTTGTATGTACAACCTGAATTGAGAATTGAACACGCAATATATAACAGGGTTAAACACACTGTTCATATAAGGGAGTCGCAAGGCAATTTGGGCCAGTAGATTAAGTTCATATTCTTCTCCTGATTTCATCACCTCTCGCATGAGAATTTTCACGATAAAATAAGGTGTGAAACAAAGTATGTACACAATCGATACAACTAACATCTTGAATGTTAAATTTCTCTCCACTGGACATTTAGCGCTATTATACCGTTTGCGTTTCTTTACTCTATGCATAATTCTTTTTAATGTTGACTTAGTACGAGGTTTGGGTGGTGACGAATGTCCTTTTCCCGACAAATCTTTTGTATTATCTGGTGATGACAAATCATTCGTATAACTATTTGATTGTTCTGAATCTTCAGTGCTAATCCCTGTTTCCGTCAATGAATCTTGTGATTGGACACTTACTATACGATTATTTAAAGATGCATCTAATATCTGTTTACTGCTTGTAGATCGTGGTGTGATATTGGTTTTGGAAATGCCGACTTTGTTCGTGTTACGCTGTCTGTTTTCAGGGTGTACGCTATGTGTCGCATGACCATTCGTATATTCCTTAAACGTTTCTGGTCTGTCTTCAATTTTAGTGGTGCTCTCTTCGGATTCGTCAATAACATACGACGGATTTGACACTTCCCTATTGTTCACATTTGTTTCGTTTTGTAAATGTTTCCTAGTTCTTTTTAATTTGTATATTGTGTAAATTATATGAGAATATACTATTCCTAGTGTCATCCAAACAATTAGCATGAGGAGAAAATCTGTGACAGTGAAGACAGCAACACTAACAAAATAACCAGAATCATCTCTCGTTGTACAATAGTGTCCTTTGACTGTTATGTTACTTCCGGGATCTTTGACATTAACAACAACGCTATCAAAATTAGCAAAATTTCTCACGGACATAACACCCCCAAATATAACAATGGCAATTAAAACGTACTTTACTGTCTTTAATGTCATTTGCTTTCCGAATGGAGTACAAATTTTTCTATGTCTGTCTATAGCAACCACCCATAGTATTAAACCAGAACAAGCCACTGTCCAAAGACCGATGAAATGTGCAAATTTGCACATAATGCTTGCTGTATATTTAACATTGACCCACATTTCTATAATGTTAGGAATAAATTCAACACAGACGATAAGGTCTACCATTGCTAAACATGCAATCAGCCTCACGGTAGATGAGGGCTTAGATTTGAACGCGTAGAACGCAAAAGCAAAACTATTTCCAACAATTCCAATTGCTCCAAATACAACCATACATACGATCACCAAAAGTAGATGCTGGAAGATTTCATATCTAGCATGCTCAAGGATAACCTCTTCGTCAACGCTCGAATCTATCATGTTTGTCTTGTTCATCTTGTATAATGAATCTGCCAAGGAAATTAACAACATAAGTATTTCCTTTAATGATGAAATTTGCTGAAGACAAAAATTCTGTGAAAAATCAAATTTATTGAAACCTGACGAAAATGCTTATGATCAGGGCAAAGGCCAACAAATTCTATTGGTGGGATTTTGAGTTCTGGTCCTTTGGTAATGATAAATCTTATTGCCACATTGGCAAAACAAACTGATAATTGAAACGTTAAATGATTCGCATATAACTGGAAGTTCGCATGCCACATGCATGCAAGAACCATTTAAATATTAAGATTATTAAATACTAATAATGAAGTGTTTATATTGCTTTTTTAAAAAAGAGAAGCATACATTTAATTCCATTTGTAATACTCATTTTCGTTTAAAATAACATCCCAGAATGACTCGTGCGTAAGGGAAGGGACATGGTGTAACGTTGACGATATCTTAATCAAATTAGGTCATGAGACTGGAATGGACAAACATTACTCAGATATATTAACATGACTCTGCGATGTCTTAGAATTTGAATTTTATTCATTTCATTTCCAATAGGCTAATAAGCCCATACAAACATACTATATATGACATGACAGAGTAATGCATGATAATGATAATAATACATCTCTTTTAAATATAGGAGACAGAGACAGATATGTGTGGTTGTATAAATCACATCATTTAAAAATCGTCCGGTATTAATCGCAGTAATGAAATAACCGTATAATATGTCGTTAATACATTTTGACTTTCGAGCTTTTTCTATTTTCTATTTCATTTCTTTGAGATATTTTGTTCTCAACTAATTTCGATGAGATTTACAGGCAACAAATACAAGGTGTCAATTAGTATATATTGTAAATTTCAATGATAACGACTCCCTAACAACACGAATTTAAAACGTGAATGTGATGTTCAGTGTATATGTATTGTCCCCATGGATTTATTAGCCTAAAGGAAATGTAATAAACTAGCCTAAACTGAATTATTCATATTTCAAATAAAATTTGACTTCCTGGCATTTAAATGGATATTGTTATAGCAAATAATGAAATAAATCGTTTATATCACAAAGAAATAATCTAACCTTACATAGATTTAAGTTTGCAATTAAAGCGGTGATGCGAACTTGAGAAAAAGTTGCTTTCCGAGAAATTACAAGACTGATTTACATATGACATTAACAAAATACCACCAAATTGTAAGACGTCTGATCGCTGATTATTTCTAAAGTAAAAATTGCAAATCCATTAACACATCATTTTAGATACTAAGAAAATAATTGTAAACGAACAAATCAAATATAGAAACAATAAATTAAATTTTAACTATAAAATCGAAATGGCTCTACAATATACCGGAATGCAATATAAACTTTTAAAGGTATCTTACCTTATCTGAAAATATCATTCAAATCTAAAATCTTGTTTCCAGATTTTGATAAAAACTTCCTGCTCGCTGAAACAAATTGTGTGTTTTTACATAAAAAGTAAAACAAACTTTATGTATCAACACATCTTGTTTCTGTTTTGAATAATAAAGCAGGACGTAAGTTGGTTATACAAATTACCAAACTTCTAAATCCTTGACAAAGGTTGAAAATATAGGGCGTGTATTATACCCATTAGCAACAAAAGTATTAACAATAATGATGACGATAATGATAGCGGTGTTGGTGTTACTGATATCAATACTGCTGATTATAATAATAATAATAATAATTATAAAATATCATCATCATCATGAACATCATCATTGTTCTAATGTTGAAATTATCTTTATTATCATCATTTTAAAAAAAATTATTACTGTAACGAAAATAGAAATAATAAAAAATAATACCTGAAAAATGCAAACACTTACATTGTTTCAGAACAGAATTATTATTATTATTATTATCATTAGTATAGTAATATGTTTATGTCATGCTTAAATAAAAGCCGTGGTTTTATATTAAATAGCAGTCATATTGGCTATTTTCTGAAGTTTATAAAGTGTATCTTCTGTCCTGTATTGTAATGAGATATTGTATAATTTGAAGAAATATGACACACTGCCTATATTGAGAGGTTAATACTTGGTTGCTACTCGCCATTATGCGACAATGGCCAGAAGATGTGCATAATGGCCTGATGGCCTCAGGGGTTGGTTACATTTTTTTACAAATGAATAATGCCTTATCACCCTCCGATATGTTGCCTGTCTGTTGTAGTCCATCTGTGAAATGCAAGCTTCATATCCTCTGATCCACGCTCCAAATTCTATTTTATTTAGTTTCACTTTTGTTGTTGTTGTTTTATGTCTAGGGCAGATCTTTCTTTTATTTGAAGACCATATGCTGCATTTCATGGAACGTCATTGTGTCCAATGACTATATACTATCTGGTATTTTTGAACTCGGTTCTTTGGTTACTAAACATTTTTGAGCAAGTTAAAAGTGACAGCTACAGAAAAATCCGTGAAAATGATTGTTTCTTATTCATCATATCTGAAATAAATGAAGCAATGACGTGTTATACACAAAGATACTCATAACTTAGGATCACACAAGCCAAATATCTACCCAGTGTCTCTTCTGCTTTTATTTGCGTTAATTGTTAAGTATGTAATATTTACATAAAAGTAAAAAGTATTACATACACACTTAACGATTAACGCAAATAAAAGCATATGTCGTGCTTTGAGGGTACCTATGTGTTCAATAATGACAGGGTACCTGTGATATAAAAATTCAATTGAAGAGAGGTAGCCCGTGCCGCTGCAAAACCGAAAGTATGGTGTTTTTATGAATTTTACATTTCTTTTTGACAATATACTGCCATTTGTCCGAAGATGATATGTTCATGAACATATTAAATATGTATGATGCATATATTATCAAGCCACAGGTTGATTTCAGTCCGAAAAATATGTCGAGTTGATGGGCGAAGCAAGACGTGTCGATTTTTTGTAGCTTATTGTGAAGTTGCAGTACATGAAAATCGGGCACATGACAAATCAGCACATCAATAAAACATTCTAGTGTTCCGTGGTATACATCTTTTCTACGTGTCATACCTCCTTCCCTTATTACAATGAAATTTTACTGTATTGTTATCCATCGCTGGTTTGTTTTTAGCAGAGAATGACCTGTGCATGTTCAGAGAGGGTACCGTTTGAGCAGATTTGCAAAGAGGGTACCGATATGGATATGCACCGTGTCATGTTACAGGCGTCCAAACTAATCCGGTCGAACAAAAAATGCTGCCGTTTTTGGCAGAAAGGTATTTTCGAAGCCGCCAATGATGAGAGAAACGCTATGAAAGTGCTTACATTCTGACAGAAAACCGATTTCTTTATTCTTATGTTAGTTTTTTATACATAATAGAGACGATAATCTACTGAATTGCACTGTAAATAGCGCAATTAACATGAAAGAAAGAAAGAAAAAAATAGTTTATTTCGGTAACTTATACATTTACAGTATCTCGTTACATACAATAATTACAAATATAATAATTCTGTGGTCACATGACAAAAGCAAAGAAAAAAAAATATAAGAATATAAAAAGTTTTAACTGATGACATTCTAACGGAGAACAGACAGCTGCAAATAAAGGAACAAAAAGCATCACAATTTCATTATCATTCATAGAAATAAAAAGTTCTAGTAAGAAGAAAAACACCAAAAACAGAAAAGACGTGACAATAACAGCGTCAAAAGTATAATATTACATGTATCTTTCTAACGATAATAAGGATAATAAGTTGAACCAATTAACATTTCAAAATGTGTTATGAATTAACAACGGATAGTAACAATTCTTGTCGCTTTTTATTAGCTACATCTATATATTTTCCTAAATTTACAAGTATAGCTTTATTATCTGATTGTAGTACATCTACTAATTTATACATAGAAGGTCTAATATAGTAATAACGCTTGATAAACCTTCTTCGAATATCTTGATAACATGGACAAACTAAAATAAAATGATACTCATCTTCAATTTCTGGTAAGTTACATAATTAGCATAATCTTTCATTTCTTTGTGTTCTATTACGTCCGTATCTACCGGTTTCAATCCTTAAGTTATGAGCAGATATTCTAATTCTACAAATATTCATACGTATACCTTTACAATAAATATTTCTTAAATAAGGTTCAAAACAAAAGTCTTTTTTGATATAACTATACAAAGTGTTTAGCACAATATTGTTTCTATGTCTGAATGCCATTTTTGCCTAAAACAATCAATAACTCTTTGCTTAAATTCAGATAAAAAGAAACTACTTTTGATATTTATTGGGTTGTCCCACACATAAGAAAAAGCCAAATTCATTTAATAAGGATTTTACATTTTTGAACCCAATTATTTACACCAGTCAAACTATTGCTTACTGTATATCTATAAATTTCTTTCAGTATAATATAATCCGTATTGACAAGCTTAAGCCAAAATTTAATGATTTGTACGTATCTGTTGATATGTAAGGGGTATCTACCTAATTCGCCATACACTGCATTATTACTAGCACATTGTTTTACTCCTAATATTGATTTGCAAAACTTAAGGTGTACCCTTTCTATATCTTTAGATTTAGTAAAACCCCAAACCGGACATGCATAATTAAGTATTGAGCCAACAAAGGCATCAAATAATTGTAGTGAAACACGAGGATTTAGATGAAATTTGTTTATCTTATTCAATAAAATGCTCATAGCTTTTTAAACCTTTCCCTACTAAGCACTGCGTATTTAAAACAAAAGAACCTGTATAATTAAAAACAAACCCTAGATAATTAAAATCGTTAACAACTTCAATATGTTTCCATTATAATACCATTTTTCACTTAATTTGACCTGTCCCCTTTTTACGGAAAACAACAATTTTGGTTTTATCCGTATTGACCTCAAGTCCCCATTTATTGCAATAATCATACAAGGTATTTAGCGATTTTTGTAAGTCTTCTTGTGATCTGCCAACTATCACCATATCATCGGCAAATAATAAAACAATAATACATAATTCATAAATATTGAGACCGCAATCCATTCGGTTTTGTAAAAATAATTCAAGATCCTCTAAAAAAATAATGCGAAAAGTGCCGGAGAATTATTTTGTCCCTGCCTTAAACCTATCGATATATTGAAGAAAGTCAGAAAATGTATTACAATGTTTTACACAAGATTTTACAACTGAAATACATAGCTTTAAATATATTTAAAATTTTACCATCCAAGCCCATCTTAAATAATTTATACCATAGCGCGTTTCTATACACAGAGTCAAACGCTTTTTTAAGATCGACAAAAGCGCACGGAAATCTTTTATTTTCAGATAACATATGTTGTACTAAATTATGTAAAACAAAAATTGCATCCACAGTGCTGAGCCCTTTTCTAAAACCGAACTGGGCGTCTGATAACATATCATTATCATCAAACCATTTTTCTACCCTTGAAGTTAAAATACTAGTAAATAATTTACCAAAATTTGCTGATTAATGTTATACCCCTGTAATTATTTATATTTCTAGTATCCCCCTTTTTATGCAAAGGTACAATAAAACCTTGCGGTCCACAATTCTGGAAAATAACCTGCGTTAAAAACAATATCAAAAAAATCTGTAATATGCCCTACCAAGATATCAATAGTTTCAATAAAATATTCATTAAGTAAAATTGTCACTTGGCGATGCAGATTTGTTACGATTTAAATTGCGAACAGCAGCACGCACTTCATCACAGGTAATCGGCATGTTCAATTCACCAAAAAAGTAGGGTTATTTGTATTAGTATTTCCGTCATCAATAAATGTTTCAACCTCGGGAATGATTGTTGTTTTTATTCATTAAACATTTCAAAAAAATACTTTTCAAAACTCTTTAGCAGATATATCGTCCCCCGTACGTCTATTTTGTTGTTGTTTAAAATATTGCCAAAATTTCTCTTGGTTTACGGGTTTTTAAATTAGTTAATTCTTGCGACTTCTTTAAATTAAATGCTCTTTTCTTTTTTCTCAAAATCATTTTATACGTCTTTTTAGAATCACATAAAGATAATCTGTTTAAACATGATGACTATCATTGTTAAAAATATACAACTTTTCTTTATATATGCGTTTTCGCATCAGCGCATTCAGTATCGAACCAAGAGTTATCATACCTTTTTGCACTCTTACAATAAACATTTTTCTTAAAAAACAAATCAGCTGATTCACAAATCAAGTGAGAAAAATTTGATACTAAAATCATTTACAGTACTTATTTCTTGAACATTATTTTACATTCATGATACTATTAAATTCATTCATTTTTCCCAACAATGACCTTCTAAACAACATTTTATGATCGTCATTCCATTTATAATAAACGTAATGATTTTTATTGTAAACATCATAATCGGTGGTTTATCGCCACATATCTTAAAATCAATGATGCATGGTCACTAAACAAGTCAAACTGGTTAACAGTGAAACGATTGAACCGATATGAAAATCAATTTCTTTTAACAGTAAGTAATCTATTGTACTGCATGATTGCCGATTATAATATGTATATTCACCGGTTACGCAATCATGTCCCAATCGTCCGTTGGCTAAACGTAAAGAGGTGGCTTTACAAAATTCTAACAGTTTTACGCCACGTGCATTGCATTACAAGGTCACTTGAGGTTCTGCATAAGGTTTCATCTGGGAAGTAGTCAATATCATCAATACTTGAAATATTTTTTGTCACATCTAATAAAATCTGGCTTGTTACCCACACGACAGTTCCAATCCCCTGCCACAAGGACGCTACCTATCTGTTCATAATTTAAAAACATTCTTGCTCTAATAGGTTAAATAAATCAACATTGTTTACACTTGCAGCCGGAGAATCATCTCCCCCATATATATACACCTGCCAAAAATACATCTTTTGTAAAATTGAAAACATTTCTATGAAGCTTAAGCCATATTATTGTATCAAAATGGTTTTTAATGATTGAAACACCTGATTTATATTGTTTTTATATATATCACAATACCCCCACTGTTACGCTTAGCCCTTTTATGCTTGAATTTTCTATAGAAATTATAACATGTAAAGTTGTCAATATCAATGTTAAGACTCACTATCCGTCCAAGCTTCCGATAATATAACAATATCATTTTTTACTAATTTTATCAATAAAAATCTGGATCATTAAGTTTTCTTTCTGTTTAAACCATTACAATTCCACACTAATATTTTTGGGCCCATTCTCCGATGTTTCCTATTCCAAGTTGATTGGTTTTCCATCGATAAATAATGTGTCATAGAGATCCCCATGCGTTATGGTTTTTTGCTTTCGCCTCACGAAGTTTAGAAATTAATCTCTTACGTTTTGCCACGACCTCAGGCGGGAACTGTTCATGCATAAAGAATTGTTTTACCCATCAAGTTTGAAGTGCTGCTTCCTTACAGTTTCTCTATCTTTGAAATACGCAAATTTGCATACAATTTTTCTGTTGATTAATTTTGATGGATCAGTTGATTGGTACCCCATTCTGTGGGCTCTTTCTATCTTCAAGGCATCTACTGTATCTTGTGCGAGTCCCAGCTTATTAACCAAATGCTCCCTTAGTTTGTTTTCAGTTTCTGTTGCTTTTTCACATGTTTATGGATGTTTACAAGCCTGATCTATCGATATACCAGCCAAATTTAGTTTCTTGTATTTTGCCTATTTCAACTTGGGTGGTTCCAGTATTCCTACTTGAATACTGTATAATCACCCTTAGGATATGTTGCCTGCTTTTTAATTTGTCTTTTGACGTCTTGTCTGTGATATGCAGGCTTCATAACCTCAGATCCCCTTTCAAAATTCCATTTTATTTAGTTCCACCCATTGTTTTCTCGTTTAGAGCACACACATTCTTTTACATGGGGATCATACGTCGCTTTTCATGGAATGACACTTGTGTCACATTGAAAGTTCCATGATAATCACCGTATGAACACATCTGCGGATGTTTCTAAATTCAAAATTTCACCATTTAGTGTTTAAATCTTGAATTCTGCTAGGGGGCGTGAACGGTAACTTGTACTTTCCAGTACCGTCCTTGAACAGTCTCAATCAAAACGAGCCTGCAACAGTGTACAATTTTGCCGTGTTGGGCTTTCTTTAGGGATTCTGTTTTTCTCTATTTTATAACTTACCTGTATTAATAAGTAAATTTTAGATCACTGTTATCATTGCAGCAATCTGTCACCATACGGTGTGTTTAGGGATTCTGTTTTTTATTCCACAGTATCGACCAAAATCATCAATTTCTTGGCAACAGATATTTACACCACTCAAGTATGTCAGTTAAATTCTTGACACATTATGCAAACATATTCATTTGATTCAAAGATATCAGTACGCAGAAAATAAGATATTATTAAATATCTATGATCAAAGGGGCTAAACTAGTGATGATATGTGCTAGTTTTATGATTAAGTATTTTTTCTTGGTTGACTATGTGTGTGAACATTCTCAAATCAATCAGACCGTGGGGAAATTATTCAAGTTCTTGTAAAACCTTTGTGGCAAAATTTGAATAATCATATGTAGGTGTATATAACTGCCATGTAGTAAAATAAAAAGAATACACTTGTCTACAACTACATTGTAAGTATACATATATTTTTCATACAGTAATTGCCAATATTTAATATTACATTATGATATGATTACTATATGTGACACAGATTTTACGTCCTTATGTCTATCTTTTTCTTGCACACATTTGTCAAACTTTAATCTGATTTTCTCTATTATTCTGCTGTTGTATTTATGTACCTGAGAAAATAAAGAGTATGGGTTAAAATTAAATAGTTTTTGCTATTATCTTGAATAAGGGCGTTTTCCAATATGACGTCATCACTTGAGAAAATGACGATTTGGCGATTGCATACCTTACCTAACCAACCTTATCTTACCTTTACTTTACCTTATCTTACCTGAACTTACCTTACCTTTACCTGACCTTTACCTTACCTTTACCCTTATATTGCCTTACCTTACTCACCTTTAACTTACCTAACCTTTACCTTTACCTTTACCCTTACCTTACCTTACCGAAGTTCCGGCTGATCCTGGTCTGCACTGATCGTATGGGTAAAATCGTTGGCAGTCAGCAGTAACACATTTCAATAATGCATTGTCGGGCTTGTTCCTTTATAAGACACATGATACTACAATTTAAGCTTCCATTTATATAATGGTTCGTAAAATTGTTTAATTCAATTTTAACTGGCATATTAACGTAGCTATGCAATGGCGTAATTCAAATGAATTTATTTTAAAGGTAGTTATCAGATATTGAAGGCTAGGTGTTAAATGCATGTACAAAAAATTCAGTATATTTTTCAATATCACCAAATTAATGCATAATCAATTTCATTTTCCTTAAACAAATTTATTACACAAGGTCTATATAAATCAAGTATTTCCTTGGATGGGGCAAATGTTGACTCATGGGGCATGATTAACATTTGTTTTGTATTAGTTCACAAGGCAATGCTACATATCCAATATTTAAGCTTCAGGCATTGAAATGTCATACAATAATACTTAAACATATTTTTTCCTATACAGGCTAATATAAATCATGACACCATTCCCTTGGGGCGTGGAACATTTTGATCCAAGGGACATGATTTAGATACATGTACACTTTGTAGTGGTCCACGAGACAACACCACATGCCAAATATTTAAGGTTTAGGCATTTTAGTTGGAGGAAATAAGGCTTAAATGCGTGTTTGTCCTATTTAAGTAAATTTTAAGTTGAAAGAGTGACCCAATTCTGTGAAAATGCTTGATAGAGTTACCTCCTCTTGTGTACAAGTTGGCGACACGATGGTGGACATGTGTCCAAAGTATCAGAGCTATATGTCAATGGACTTAAAATGCAAATATTTTTGGTGGTACGCAAACCTTAACATAAGTGGTTACGCTGATGCTGAGTGTACTAGGATATCTCTCATTATTCTTCTAATAGTCGAGCTAAAACATAAGGATTTGTTGTTTTGTTGTTTAGGCTGGGCGTATAGTTTCAAAAGACTGGTATTCACTGCTGTGAATTTACCGTCTATAGGGGACATTTTGTTTTGGAGAAGTGACACAGCTGGCATATAAAAGGTATGCAGGTATATTCAGTTTGGCTACTTGTTTGAACGGGGCACCAGAGTCTTATTTCACTAGTGAAGCTTAATTTGTCATATGTCCTTTTTTTTAAAGTATGTGATTCTCAACTATAATGCAAGGAGACAAAGACATACTTGTAATGGTTTTAAGGAATTTAGAATAAACTACATGAAGAATGATATCAACATTTAATCAGAAGGCTACTACCTTAGCATAAATTATTAAATAAATAACAAAATGACAAAACGAAAATGATAATTTGACAGCAAAAGAATTATACTATAGGTGGTCTACTACAAACATGAATGATAGAAAGCTATTATATAGCTATTTGTAAGTAGATGGACACTTATGTTAATTAACCAAACGAAAACCTACCTTAGAGAAGTCAGGTGAAATAAAGTAAATCAAACGCTAGTGTAAATTTGATTAATTAAAAAGAAATCATGAAAACTAACATTTTTTTATCATCATCATTTATCATTATCATATTTTTGCGCTTAAGCCGTACTTGTTGCCTAATTTTTAAAAAAAAAATGGCGTTACAATTGAAGCCAAGCTTCGGTTAAAATTTAGATGGATTTACAGTTTTATGTTGTTTTCTATTGTTTCCTCGGTAAAATACTAACGTAATATGGGCTGTGGCGAGCCGACATCAATTTCACCAATTCGTGATAATTATATCACAAAGTAAATGTCAATATATTGACTCGTCATTGTAATAAAAACCTTCCAAACCGTTTATAATTTTGACCCACTCTTAACTTAGTGTAAAGGAAACACATGGGATATCTAATAACTTTGCTAATTGAAATGCATCTCATGAGTCCCTGATGGATATCAGTAAAGGAATGAACACTATTAATCAAAACTTGAACAGCTCAAGTTATTTCACTTAAAGATTGATACAAACAAAACGTTCATGGTATTTGATGGCTCATACTTACTGTCTAAAACTGAATTCATCCAGACTCATCATAGATTGTTATATTTTTCTTACCTTTAAAAATAACTTTCCATTTCCAAAAGTAAAAAGCACAGATGTTTGGAAATGTCACATATTTATTCACCAAAGTAACCATCAACCCGCAAAACTTGATCAATAGGAATAATAATGATCTATGTACGGTTTCTATATGTTGATATTAATACGTTATATTCGAGATACATGCCTCTGCTTTTCATATAAAGTAACGTCTCTACCACCTTGAATTTAGATATCTAATATCCATGTTTAACTTACTGTAAAATATGGCTGAAATATCCAACACTTATGATAAAATGTCCATAGAACAAGTAAAATGATGAGAAATTGCAAAACTATGATGCACATATAATATCTTTAGTTACATGAGTAAGATATATCAAGTGTGCAAATGTTAAAAAGGCAAGCATATATTTTCCAATTGTATTCTTCAAAATCAACATCTTTCAAGTTTTCATCTCTCACTAATCTCACATTTTAGCATCACTGAAGACCACACCCAAAGCAGGTACATATATACATTTGCTAAATAGCAGTGTTCTTGGTGTTACTCGAACTATGAACGTTTTACCACTGGACGTGTACTCCCCTAAAATGTGTTATAAGACCAACCCAAGTGCCTATACTCTAACGTTTCCCTTTTAGTTTAAACATGCTTTATTTCTCATTATATATATATACATGTTTCAATTTACAATATATACACAGCATTTCGAATATTCTTAAAAAAAACAACAGGATTAGAATGGACGACAGTCTGAACATGTTTATAGTTAGTATTTAATTAAACATTGCATCAATGTTTTATAAAGATTAATACCTCTTTGAAGTATAAGCTGAAACTTATAAAATCACGTATTCTAACATATTTTGTTGTGCACCAATTCATGTAATAAAAGGTGGAACGCCATTAGTTTTAAAACAGTAGTTGGCAATCTTTGCAGAAAAATGATGCATAAAGTATTTGTTTTAGTGCTTAGTTCAAGTAGCTAGTAGCCTTTATATTGAAATCGATATAAATATATAATAATTTATGACACAAAGCAAAAATAAAAAGCACATTATCAAGCTATATTTGTTTCAATACGCATAATAGAATAATAGCTCTAATACAATTAACATAAAAACATCCATTTATGTAACTCAGATTCAATTTCGTAAAACAGAAAATTACATTTAGAAATATGAATGTTACTATTGTCATTTGTTGGCATTTCTACTGCATACTTTCAATCTAATATTTGGGTCCACTGGGCACAATATGTTTACATAAGGTTCAATAGAAGGAAACTAGTTACTATTGAACAAAATTATCTATCTTATCACGTCTCACGGATATAAAAAAGATTTTTCATTGCAAAATACTTAATGTATATTCTTTCTTTAAAAAAGACCTTTAAAGTGCAATATACAAAGCAAATCAAAAAGAAAAGATATCAAATTACATTTCAAAATAAAACAAAAAATTGTTCAAATACATACAGTCAAAAGCTTCTTTTGATATATACAGTAATATTTAATTTCAGATACCAGGGCCTTCTTTATTACGACTTAAACAAATACTGTGATTTTCGAAAACATTTAGAAAAGAATGTTTTGAGTATATTTTGAATGTAAAATCTGAATTGAGAATTGAAAACACAATATACCATGGGGTTAAACACACTGTTCATATAAGGGAGTCGCAAGGCAATTTGGGCAAGTAGATTAAGTTCATATTCTTCTCCCGATTTAAGCACATCTCGCATGAGAATTTTCACAATAAAATAAGGTGTGAAACAAATTATGAACACAAGCGATACAACTAACATCTTGAATGTTAAATTTCTCTCCACTGGACATTTAGCGCTGTTATACTTTTTGTGTGTCATTTTATGAAACATTCTTTTTAATGTTGACTTGGCATGAGTTTTTGTCGATGACGAATGTTTATTTTCTGGTAAATGTTCTGTATCATGTGATGATGATAAATCATCCATATTACTTGTGTATTGTTGAGAATCTTCAGTGCTAATACCGTGTTCCGTCAATGAATCTTGTGATTGAACACTCGCTTGACAATCATTTAAAGATACCGCTAACACTTTTGTGCTAACTGGAGATGGAGAACTGACATTTGTTTCTAAAATGCTTATTTTGTCCGAGTTATCATTTTCATGACAGTGTCCATTATCTTCGTGCATTACGACATGTTCTTCATGTCCATACATGGTGTCGTTAAGCGGTTCTGGACCGTTTTCAATTTGTGTGGTGCTTTCGTCGTTCTCCTCATTTAAATACGACGGATTTGACAATTCCGTGTTGTTTACATTTGTTTTGTTGTGTAAACGTTTCCTAATTCTTTTTAGCTTATAAATTGTGTAAATGATATGAGGGTACGCTACGGCCAACGTTATCCAAACCATCAACATAAGCAGAAAGTCGATGACAGTGAAAATAGTAACGCTTACTACATAATCAGAATCATCTCTTGTTGTACAATAGTGTCCCTTGACTGTTGATTTACTTCTTGGATCTTTGACATTAACAACAACGCTATCAAAATTAGCAAAATTTCTCACTGACAATGCAAACCCAAAGATAACAATGGCAATTACAGCGTACTTTACTGTCACTAATGTCATTTGCTTTCCAAATGGACTACAAATTTTTCTATGTCTGTCTATAGCAACCACCCATAGTATTAAACCAGAACAAGCCACTGTCCAAAGACCGATAAAATGTGCAAATTTGCACATAAAGCTTGCGGTATATTTAACATTGACCCACATTTCTATAATGTTAGGAATAAATTCAACACAGACAATAAGGTCTACCATTGCTAAACATGCAATCAACCTCACGGTAGATGATGGCTTAGATTTGAATGCGTAGAACGCAAAAGCAAAACTATTCCCAACAATTCCAATTGCTCCAAATACAACCATACATACGATCACAAGAAGTAGGTGCTGGAAGATTTCATATCTAGCATGCTCAAGGATAATCTCTACATCAACACTCGTATTCATCTTGTATGTCGTGTTCATCTTGTATGATGAATCTGCCAAGATTAACAATTATATTTGTATTATTTCCACTAAAGATTAAATCTAATACAACAACTTTTGATTTAGCTGTACAATTAATTTATTATGAAGGAAAACGTATTCAGTTATTATGTAGGAAAACTCTTTTAATTTGTCGGACATTGGTTTTGAATATAAACATTATAACTTAAAATTCGTTTAATTATATTTATTGACTAAATAATACTCAATCTGTATAATTTAACGAGTTATTTTGTAAAATGTTATTACATGATGGTTCAAATATTGATTGTTTTATCTACCAAATTTGTAATGATTTCATTACTCAGTTGTAATTCAACTGCAAACAACATACAAAGTTCATATGACAATTGTAAATTCCGAACATTGTTCCAGTATTGTCGTTGAAATGTGTTATAATACCAATATACGTAGTTTACAGAGAGTACAATGTTTATTATTTTCTCTATTTTATACAAAAAACAACATTGTCTTATGATGCAAATGAAATTCATCAATCCCGTTTGCTAATCGTTTTCAAATGTAGACACCAAATGTAGATTCGCTTTTAAAAGTTAGGTTTATTCACGCAAAATTAATAAATTAAAGCAGAAAAATGAAAACTAAATTGTATTGATTATAAATCAGTCATTATTAAATAAAAGATAACACAATAATACAAACTAGTTTAAGTATCTACCTTTAGTGCAATAGAATATCCCTTTTAACCGAAATGTTCCTTGTTGATAATTTGTGAATTTATATTAAGGCGTAAATAAACTTTATGCATGAACAAGTCCCGTTTTTCAAATTTTAAACCAGGATGTAGAGTTTGTTTAAAATTTTCTTATATGTTGAAAATTTAACAAACAAAACCTAATCTGTTCCCACCAAAGCTTGCGAATGTAGGACATATAAAAATTATCATACCGAATGAAAGAATCGATTCATGAAATAACATTGCTTTATAAATTGCTATGTAAATACCGATACAAAAGCGACACTATAAACGTGTACCGTATCATAAAGTAAGACATACATGTATATCAGCATTAAATATCGTCACTTAAGAAAAAGGAAGTTTATATCAGAGACACTATTTTATTATATGTCTCTGTTTATACGTATATATACTTCGCAAAAACCAAAAATAAACTAAATGCAATATAACAATAAAGCAACAATAACCTCTCCAATAACTTGTATAATTATAATTATATGATGCTTACGCAGATAGCAAACTAGCACATTACATAGTATGAGTTTACTATGATATTGTCGTCTGCTAGAAATAAACTAAAAAATTATTATTCTGCCATAGCTAGCGAATTCAAGGGAGGGGAGTACAAATAGGGCGCCCCATCAAATTTCGCGACGGAGTAACATATCTAGAGTGTAAATCTTATTCTTGTGACCTATGAAAATGTATAATTTAAGCATTTATTAATTACATGGAGTAAGGAGGAGGGGGTGACGCAGTCCCTTTAGCCCCCGTCCACGCCGGCGTGATACTTTTAATACCGGTACTCATTTAATGAGGTAGAAAACTCGCCCGAAAACTCGCAAGAATGCATCATTTCTCTCCTTCACATTAAAAACTTGCATTGCTTTTACCATTGTCTGCCTCCAATTTATAGTACTATGTTCCCTATCCTGAAATCCCGGATCTACCCTGGTCATAACTAATTAAAAAATATTCATTTACTTTGAAGTATCAAGTACTTTATTGCAACTTGACGGTAAATAGATTGTTTTAAAAGTTCATGTGGAAATAAAATCAAACCAACATATGATCCCACTCAAGTAACTGATGAGAAATAATAAGGGCGGATTAGGGTTGGGTCGGGGCAAAGTTTTCCGTTTAAGCCTGGTCTCAGCCTTTTGAATTCTGATTTTTCAAAGTATTTCTCTACTGTAATATGTCACACTATATCCTACGTTGTTTAAATTGAAATCACCCCATTTTGATATAAATTCAACGACTGGTCAAATTTCAAAGTTTTGTAATCAAAATTTCATGTTAAAATGTTGCCAGATGAAAACTGCCCAATGGAGTAAATTTAAACGGGGTCAAAATTTAATGTTACAGTGACCGTACGTCATACGCTTATTTCATTAAAGTATATATATTAGAATTGAGATAAAAAGTCTGAAAAAACAATGGTTTAAAACATTTTATATTTACTGTATTAAGTCTGTTATTTGACAGAAATAAAATAACGTTGTGATTATTTTATTTGTTATTATTATTATTATCATTTATAATTGTTAAGGAGATAAACAATAATGTTAATTAACCGTGAAGAAAGTAACAACCACGGAAGGCACAGCAAAGATTATTAATGATTACTATCTCAGTTGTTTGAATGATTTGGAGGTGTTTTTATTTTTAATGAAAAAAGTGTAACAACCAAGAGTAAAGACTCCAACATAAAACGCGCACAAATTATCACGAGTATAATCCCCTGGTCTACAAAAAGGAGACATTTATTTGTCTGTATCCCTTAACGACTATTTCGTGCAGGTTTGCGTCAAAAGCAATAAAACCATGATGCCTTTACTGTTAATTCTTTCCGTGGAAAATCATCAAAATTTAACATATGTTATCTACATTTCGATATATAGAGAAGAATATGGTGTCTCATTATGTATAGTGCTTCTTTCTTCAATACACATCAGTAATGTAAGATATTAAATGTGTTTGTATTGTGTCAATTTAGGATGTTTGAGTACATTTCAGAATGTGACTAAAATTTTTCGTATATTAATTTCTTTCAGTAGTTTTCAGTTGACAAATTCAGAGGGGCGACCGTGGCCAAGTGGTTAAGGTCGCTGACTTGAGATCACAGGTCCCTCACCGCTGTAGGTTCGATCCTCACTCGGGTCGAAATCTTTCATGTGAGGAAGCCATCCAGCTGGCTTACGGAAGGTCGGTGGTTCTACCCAGGTGCCCGCTCGTGCCAGAAATAATGTCCGAAGGGGCACCTGGGGTCTTCCTCCACCAATAAAGGTGGAAAATCGACGAAAAAATCTTGGTGGACGCTCTAGGATGGTCCGACTTGAGTGTACGGTCGCCAATAAGGGCTTTCCGGCGGAGACCTTAAACAAACGCATTAAAAAAAAACAAATTCAGGATTAAAATTTGAAAAAAAGAAGAACAGAAACAACGCAGAGAAAAACAAGAAATGTTTATATCTATAGGACGCTTATATCCTGTCATAGCAGCACGATAGCAAGTATTTTAACTATCAAATTCAAAGACAAGGTTTTCACATAAAATGACACTGTTATTTCAACAACAATGAATAATAGAGGTATTTGTTTTTGCCACGGGCAATGTCTATACCAAGTAAAGAAACCAAGGCTTTTTTCTCAAATTATTTATTTTATTGATTGTACAATTATTTTACAATAGGTTTCACTGTGACGTTGACCTCGACCTAACAACCCTATACCTGATCAACTACTAGCTATTGTCAATGTCCCTAAATGTTTAACAAACTTAAAAACTTATAATACATCAAGATTTTGAACAGAGAAGGGTTTCACACAATGTCACTGTGACCTTGACCTTTCATCTAATGACATTTACACTTATAGTTGCAATGTACTGACCATGGCAACATCTCTGCTAAGTATGATAAATTTAAGCTTATTTTTTCTCAGTAAATGATGCGATAATGATTTTAAACCGAGTGCTACTGTGTCTATGACCTCTGACCTTATATGTACAGAATCAATAGAAATCACCTATCGAACATGGGCAATGTCGTTGCCAATACTCATAAATCTTGACCTTATACGTCTAAGGTTATTGATTGGACAATGATTTATCACAAAGTGGCAATGTGACCTTGACCTTTGACCTGATGGCCTTGAAAATCATTACGGGTCTTCTATTCGTCAGGGTCAATGTTCCTACAAAATTACATTAACAACAGTTTAACTTTTCTCAAGAAATTGATTGAAGAATGAGTGATTTACCCCATAGGTCAGTTTTCAACGTTGACAATTGCCCCTGCCAATATTTTTACATTAATGTTTATTAAAATATAGTTGTAATCTTATTTTATCAAAATGGGGCTATTTTACAACGTGTGTCAGTAGAGAGACATATTGAAGAATCAGAAACTCCCAAAACGTTTTCAAAAGACTGAGACCGGGCTTAAACGGACAACTTACTAGCAAAAGCAGAAGTAGATATTTTAATACTCTGAGATGACAATGTAATATATAAAGCATAATGTGTAATATGATAGTTTGCTATTTGCATAAGAAACAAAAAACAGTCTATACTGCATCACAAATAATATGAGACGCTATTTGAGTGGTCAGACCTCTCCACAGTGTTGACAACGTTTTCTATCGGCACACATTTTGGCTTTTCAATTTGAAATTTAAGTTTATGTGATTTAAAGCCTAACATCATTAGAACCAATCTACAAAAATGTTTTAAGCATGCCCCGTTTCAAAATACGACATAAAAACTATTCGGTAAAATTAAAAAGTCAGACGAACAGTGATTCATTACGTTTTTAATTCTTTAAACTGTATAATATTGTTTTCGGAAGAGCGTTTTAATTTCATGTTTCTTAAAATAGTAACAGTAAATACTTTACCTGCAATATCATTTAACACTTTTATATGACCGAGTTAACTGTTTACTGGACATTTTGCTGATTATTCCTAATTAGAGCTTATGCGGAGGCTGACGAAAATAGCCGAAAACAAAACTATTCTGCCTATTTATTGAACAATTTTCGGATTAAAGAAATCTTTCATAGGTGCAAAAAGACGTCTCGTCTCGCATGCTTCTTTTTAAGAAGCAAACTTGTTATTACACGACAGAAATATTTACATTTAATTTTAGAGATCTGTTTCAACATCATAGTAATGCCTGTCTAAATTTGATCAGATTTTATCAGGAGTTAATTTCTGAGTGTCTATTTTAAGTCATAATTGTATTTGTTCGAGTGTTTCAGGTGTTTTTTTACTTTTTTAAACTTTAATTTACAGATAATTGTGATAATTATTATAAATATTATCATTATTGTAATTTTTATTATATTGTTTTGTAGTATGTTTTTGGTTTTTGCGATAGATATCAAAATTTTAGTGACAATATTAAGTGCAGATATAATTATGCCTTACTTTATGATACACTAACTCGGGTTGCATGTATACGTTTATAGGCTCGCAGATATAAAACGTTATTTATAAAGCAAGATATGTCGATTATTTTGGGTATGATTTATGTTGTACATTTGCAAGGGGTGATGGGAATATTCTTTTTTTTCTTTTTTTGATTTTGTAAATTTACAACAAGCTCTACATCCTGGTACATAATTTAAAAAACCAACAGAATTTGTTCATGCATGTAGTTTATTCTAACATTAATGTAAACTCACAACTTAGTGTATTCACGGAGGAAGTTTAGTTAAAAGGGAAATTTTATTTCACTAAAGGTAGATACATAAACAAGTTTATAATGTTTGTACCATTGTGTTATAATTCATTTAATTATGGATGACTTCTAATCAACTCAATTTAGATTTGATTTTCTGTATTAATTTTGCGTAAGTAAAGCTAACTTTAAACAGATAATCTTAATTTGGTGTTTACATTTGAAAACATTCAGCAAACAACTAGGTTGGTGAATTTCATTTTTCTATCATAAGACAATGTCGTTTGAGTATACACCTTGTACGTTCTGTAAACTAAAATAATGGTATTATAATAAGTTTCAACGACAATGCAATGTTCAGGCAATATTTTAAGCATATGATCTATGTATGTTGCATGTAGTTAAATTACAACTTAGTAATGAAATTATTACAAATTTGGTAGAAATCAATATTTGAACAATCAAGTAATAACATTTTAAAAAGTAACTCGTTCAATTATACGCATTGAATATCATTTAGTCAATAAATTTATTTACACGAAATGTAAATTATAATGTTAATATTCAAAACCAATGCGAGACAAATTAAAAGAGTTTTCCTACATAATAACTGAATTAAGTTTTTCTACATAATTAATGAATCGCACAGCTAAATCAAAAATTGTTGTTGTATTAGATTTAATCTTTAGTAGAAATAATACAAATATATTTGTTAATCTTGGCAGATTCATGAACACGACATACAAGATGAATACGAGTGTTGACGTAGAGGTTATCCTTGAGCATGCTAGATATGAAATCTTTCGGCGCCTACTTTTGGTGATCGTATGTATGGTTGTATTTGGAGCCATTGGAATTGTTGGAAATAGTTTTGCTTTTGTGTTCTACGCCTTCAAATCTAAGCCGTCATCTACCGTGAGACTAATTGCATGTTTAGCAATGGTAGACCTTATCGTCTGTGTTGAATTTATTCCTAATATTATAGAAATGTGGGTCAATGTTAAATATACTGCAAGTATTATGTGCAAATTTGCACATTTCATCGGTCTTTGGACAGTGGCCTGTTCTGCTTTAATACTATGGGTGGTTGCTATAGACAGACATAGAAAAATTTGTAGTCCATTCGGAAAGCAAATGACATTAGTGACAATAAAGTACGCTGTATTTGCCATTGTTATCTTTGGGTTTGTTTTGTCCGTGAGAAATTTTGCTAATTTTGATAGCGTTGTTGTTAATGTCAAAGATCCCGGAAGTAACTCAACAGTAAAGGGTCACTATTGTACAACGAGAGATGATTCTGGTTATGTTGTAAGCGTAACTATTTTCACTGTCATTGACTTTCTGCTTATGTTGATGGTTTGGATAACGTTGGCCGTAGCGTACTCTCATATCATTTACACAATTTATAAGCTAAAAAGAATTAGGAAACGTTTACACAACAAAACAAATGTAACCACCACTGAAATGTCGAATCCGTCGTATGTAAATGAGGAGAACGACGAAAGCACAACTCAAATTGAAAACGGTCCATATCCGCTTAAAGACACCATGGATGGACATGGCGCAATACACGAAGATAATGATGGACACTGTCATGAAAATGATAAATCAGACGAATTAAACATTTTAAAAACCAACATCAGTTCTGTAATTAGTAACCAAGTATTAACGGTATCTTTAAATGATGATCAAGCAATACAAGATTCATTAACGGAGCCAGGTACCAGCACTGAAGATTCTCAGCAATACAAAAGTAAGACGGATTATTTGTCATCATCACATGATACAGAACATTTACCAGAAAATGAGCATTCGTCATCAACCAAAACTCTTGCCAAGTCAACATTAAAAAGAATGTTTCATAAAATGACACACAAAAAGTATAACAGCGCTAAATGTCCAGTGGAGAGAAATTTAACATTCAAGATGTTAGTTGTATCGCTTGTGTTCATAATTTGTTTCACACCTTATTTTATTGTGAAAATTCTCATGCGAGAGGTGATGAAATCGGGAGAAGAATATGAACTTCATCTACTAGCCCAAATTGCCTTGCGACTCCCTTACATGAACAGTGTGTTTAACCCCATGGTATATTGTGTTTTCAATTCTCAATTCAGATTTTACATTCAAAATATATTCAAAACATTCTTTTCTAAATGTTTTCGCAAATCTCAGTATTTGTTTAAGTCGTAATAAAAAAGGTTGTGTATATAACTGTTTATATTAAAGTGTGCTTTTTACTGTTTTTATTTGTACAAGTTGTTTGATTAGAAATGTGATTTATTATCTTCATTGCGATTTGCTTTGTATATTGCTCTTTGAAGACTTTAAATAAACAAAATATATATGTTTATCGTAGATGTCATATTTTAAACATGAGAACATCAAGCATTTTGTAATTACATTGTTTTCATTTTACATCCGTGAGACGTGATGAGAAGAATATAATTGTTTAAAAGAAACACGTTTCCTTATAGTTAACTCTATGTATACATATTAGGCTCAGTTGACCAATCAATTAGATTTAAATCAGGCAATAGTAACATTCATATATCTGAATGTAATTTTTTGTTTTACGGAAATGAAATTGACTTACATAAATGATCGTATGTATGCTAAATGTATTAGAGCTATTATACTATTATACATATTGTTAATGTGCTTATTATTGTTGTTTTGTTTCCTTAATTTTTTTATATTTACATTGATTTCAAGATATAGGTTCTACTAGTACTAAACAAATAGTTTATAAATCGTTTTCAACAAATATTGCCAAGTACTGTTTTAAAGCTTATGGTGTTCCATCTTTTATTATATGAATTGTTGCACAACCAAATACATTAGAATAAGTGATTTTGTTAGTTTATGTACATAGTTTGAAGGAATTTTGATCTTTGCAAAATATCATTGCAATGTCAAGTTTTACAAAGTTTTACAAAGGCAATGTCCTTTGTACGAGGATATCTGAAATAGGAAAAGGCTGTTGAGCTTCCCCGCCATTCTTATTCGCCAGATCTTGCCCCTTGTGACGGTTTCCTATTTCAGAGGCCAAAAACACCTTGCTGGAAGAAAATATAAAACGCGGAAAAATCTCAGTTCGGCTATTTTCCAGTGTCTGAACAGTATACCTCGAAAAGATTATGAAAACGCATTTAAAAAAATTGATTAAAAGATTAAAACTTTGTATATTTTACATGGTGGCGAGTTCTTTGAAGGATCAAGATAATTATTTTGGCACTGTTTGTTAAACTCTTCTGCAAATTGAAGACAATCTTAAACCGTCCACAGTACAATTAATTCTTCTGAGTCTATCTAAAATCGTGCGCGAATGTGCAACCGATCAACATTAAACGGGAAGTGGAGAAAATAACGAAAAGGTATCACATTGAAGCGTCATAAATATTTGAAAAGACGAAAAACAACTTCAATTTTTTATAATAAATGATATATGTTATTGACTCGACCGCTTTACCCCCCCACACCCCCCCCCAAAAAAAAACAACAACAAACAAAAAAAAAAAAAAAAAAAAAAAAAAAAACAAAAAAAAAAAAAAAAAACACCCAAACTTTCCCCAGGAAATCGATATAGACTAACTTTCGCTTCTTTTGTAATTGCATGACAAGCATTGCAAGTTTATATTGTTACAAATAAAAGAGTACAATACAAATTGATGAATCAAAGTCGCATACATGCTATTTAATTAAGATATCTCTTGGAGGATTTCGTTCTTCCATATCGTTAGCAATATTGTTAGACAGTCACTACAAGAGCAAACAATTTAAGTAATGTAATTTTAGAATATCCTCATTTAATCGACTGTTTGCGTTTCTGTATCGTATCAATAAAAAATAATTGATATTAACTACAACAATGATTGAACCAGTATTGTAAATATATGTAATTTAATCAATTATAAAGTTTCCTTTTAAAAGGAAAGGCTTGCTCAGTTGTGCCATCTTCCCATCCCTTTAAAAATGATTTTTTTGAAAAACCTCCTTAATCAACTCTTTATGATAAAGAAATAATTATAAAAAAATAATAATACATTGACCTTATATACCAGTAAAAACAAGGTACCTATGTTTAAAGAGGTATAGAGGGTCAATTTATAATCACTATTTTTTTAATTACGGTATTTGTATATCATAAAAGGTTGATTTAGTTTTGGTTTGTTTCACTTTTTAAGGGGTAGGTAGGGTAACAACAAGACTGGACGAGCACCTGTGCGCATTTGTGCCACCAGTGTTATGCATGCAAATTTAGACAAAAGAAGGACCAGAAGTCCACTCATTATAACAGAACCGAAACATGCTGACGGTAACAGTAACAACTTCTTTTTTTTTAAAAAAAAACCTATATTATTTGTTAAAAACGATTTGAAATCTATTCTCTATTGTATAAATCTAATAAAGAAAATAATCAATCGTAGAAATACTAACATTGGCTCTCCCACGTGGAGGAAATAAAAGTATCTATCTATCATACTGAAGGGAAGCAAGTGTGCACATTTCAGAGAGAGTCATTCGTTTTGGCAGTCGCTAATTTCATTTAAATAGCAGCTTTATAGAAAGTAAATGCACTACAAGACTTCGTTACGTGGTACCAATTAATATGCATGTATCAACTATGTTACACCTAAAATATCTATGTCACTTGTTTATTGATCACAGATAGACCGACAACACAGGATGCGCTATCTGTAGATCAACACGCGGTAAGGTTAATGATATGCATGGGCTATTTTTAGATTACCTCACCAAGTTTTAAGTCCACGTTAGAATTTCGTTAAAATGTAAGACACAGGGGATCTAAATATAACTCGATCGCAGACAAATGTGATAGAGCTATGCAATTTTAACTTGTTCGCACTTATAATCTGTGTGATTCGGTCACGATCTTTTGGTAAGAAGGACTGTCCTTTGGAGACGGAATACTACTACAGTAGCTATTCTCTATTGTATAAAACTAATAAAGACAAAAATCAATTATAAAAGAAACTAACTTTTGCGTCTTGAAAACGAATTGAAACAGACCATTTTCGTTTATTATTTATTTCTTCCTTCTACTTATGCTTTAAACCGATAAATCAAGTAAAAATAGAAAACAAACTGGGATTACCAAAGTAACTAAAAAAAGCTTAGATTTCCGTAATATTACTTCGTCCGCAGTATGACGGAATCGCCCGAATTGTCACGACTGCAGCGGAAACCTAGACTGGTTTCCCGTTCAATCATGCACTAACAAATGTAAGCAGGAAACCACCTAACCGGAACAACATTTTCCAAAACAAAAATATGTTTTAAAGATAATTTATTATGATTTATTACTCTATAACCTAAAGGTAAAAAATTACACGTATTCTGAAATAATGTAAATGGACTTCGACATCAGATGAAAAATACTATTGATACAACATGCAAATAAAGTAAACAGGCTCTAATAAGAGGTTTATTTACGACAGACAAGGACCAAAATCGCAAAATGACTATTAACTCTATTGAGGGCCGATCCCCGTCCATGACGAGTTGTAATGTTTTTAATACACTTGTTGATTAATAAACCATTGGGTGTGTTTTTGCACGTGCTTATATTTAGCTGACCGTTTATGTTGATGTCTATTTTATCTCGGGTCGCTAACTCGTTCTGTTCACTTAACATTCTCATGCTGTTGGAATCATTATTGAATGTGTTACTATTTATTATTAGAAGTGTATTAATACTAATCTAATAAATACTTTTTGGGATCGCGTGAAGATATGGAACCTAATGTCAGACATACTATCTTTAGTGTTCATTCGCTTTTGTTAGCAACCATCATTACCTCTGCACTTGGTCGGTCAAACAAATATTCTTCACAGTGGCACATACACAACTATGTAATGAAACCCCAAAAAGAAAGCTTGTTGTTCGATCAAGACAAATCGCTCATATAAAACGTTATTTCAACACATTAGATTCTTCAGAATCTTTACCTCTACGCAATTATCAATAACTTTAGGTTACAGTTACAGTAAACTTAAACATTGATATGATAATGATCAATCCACTTTTATTGACATAAAACCATGCACATGTTAATGATAATCAAACAGTTTGTAGTTCACTTTTTTGTTATATCGGAAACAACATATATCAATAATTATCATTTTATTTTAGACAATAGGTCTTGGTGTTATCCTTGATAATATGTGTTCAATGCTGAAAAGTGCGCTGCATAAAGTAAGTGCAAACATTGCTTAAATATAAATAAGCAAATTCATTTTCAGAAATAATCAATTATCGATTCCATATCAAATAAAAATAACAAACAAACAATAAATTGGAGAACGTAAATGTATCATTGATCTTCATAGGATAGGCTAGAGACAATGGTTGACATATAAATATAAACAAATGTGTGCCCCAACAACTTTATATAATTTTATGACTTTCTATAAAAATTTGAAGGATTGACCCAAAAGCCTTTAAGTGAATCCACGATTTATCTCAAGAATATAATGCATTTGACTACCTCGATTCCATTACAGCATTATCCTAATAGTAAACCTTTTCCTTATCTTATATTGGCATTGTAAGGTACTCAGTAACGTGAGCAAAATAAACGTACTAAAGTATTAAGGTATTTGAGCGAGTCACGTTCGTTCAAATGACTTTGTTACATTTCTGCGAATTGGTGTAGGCGTTTACTTACTTTACTATCAAGCCTCCCTTTAAAGACGATGTATATATTAATTCATATATTCCTATTTGTACGATATTGGAACGATCCATTTAGAATATATTAAACCTTATATGAAAGTTAGTGCGGACACAGTAAAAGGAAGTGACAACCTTGAAGAATGATACATACATATATAGTAAAAGCATGGTCACGGCAGTATTCTTATCGCATATGAATAATGGCGGCTACACTGACACGGTTTGTCAAATATCCCTAATAAGGCTACGTGTTTTTTGTTATTGTATTTTTTCATCATTCTTGACTTAAAGCATATTTAACATAGGGTTTTAATGATCAATCTTGAACAGGAGTTTACTTAAAGAAAATAGAGAAAACAGATTACTTAAACATTGACTAAAACGGCAACAATGAATATATTGAAGATGCCATTCATTTACCAAGATACTCCTTAAAGACTTGACATTTTCTACGTCTATTATATAAAGAAAGAGAAGCTATCAACCCCGACGGAAATATAGTAATTGCTGTAGAAGGCAACCACTGTAAGCTCTTCTCAATAAATCCATTAAACCTGTTCTAACTGACCAGACAGACACTATAAGAAGCCACTTTCTAAATGAAATAAAATGTTCAAGTATTCTAGTATAATAAACTTCCGCCGCGACTGACTTTAAAACTTACAAATCTGTAGAAACTGTATCAGTAGCTTTCTATTTATGCAATACTTCATGATCATAATTGACCAATACTTATGCAAGGGGTGTTTCTAAATCATAACCTTTAGTGAACATCGTAGCTACCACATACAAAAACAATAGGGCTGCACAGACCAAATGACTTACTTTGATGTGTTTAATTGTAATAGCAATTGAGAAAATTTTTTTTTAGTAAATTATGACTTAACATCTCCGGGTTCTTTATATATAACGCTGGATGCAATTATACCAATAGACTTTTAAAGAACAGAACAGAAATTTT